CTTTAGAAATCCAAACATTTAAATTTGGAAATCTTGACAATTTAAAAACTAATAATTTATATTAATAATTTGCTTTATTCCATTTAATGTTAATATAGAGAAATTTGGAAATCCTAACATATAAATTTGGAAATCTTAACATTTTAAAACTAATAATCTATATTAATAACCTAGTTTATTAGATAATATATATTTTTTTAATTAAACTAATTTGGAAACAGTGATATTTAAAAAAAAATTAAATTTATTTTATTTTTGTAAGATGATTTTTGTTACTTTACTATTAGATTATTATTTTATTTTTGTATAAAATATACTTTATATTTAGTATATATAAAAAGACAATAATGTTTTGTCAATATTTTTTTTTCCATTTTTTATAACAGTTAACATTTTTAAGTAAGTTGTAAAATTTTAATATTTATTTTTTTAGTTAAATTATATATGGAATATTATTTTCGTTTTTAATATAATTTGGAAACATTGACATTTTATAAAAATGATACTTTACATTTAGTATATCTAAAAAGACAATAATGTTTTTTTAATATTACGTTTTTATTTTTGATTTCCATTTTTTTATAACAGTTAACATTTTTAATTAATTTTTAAAATGTTAGTATTTATTTTGTTACCTAAGTTATATATGGAATATTAATTTCGTTTTTTATTTAATTTGGAAACAATGACATTTTATAAAAATAATAAACTAATATAATGATGTGTCATCATACGATTGGAGGACTTAAATCCTACGTGGACGTCCTCAATGGCTTATAGCCTCAACTTTTATATAGTATAGATTTGTGTTAGATCAATTTGCCTTCTTTTATTTCACTTTGTCTTTTTTAACATTTTCATTTTTTAAATGAGTTACTTTTTACGTTTTTTTTTTGTTATTATCCAAAAAACTACACTAATTAGTTGTTTTGTTACCATTCTTAGGGGAAAATCGAATCACTAACATAAAGAGACTGTTGATTTGGTTGTGTTCCTTCCGCCGATGATTATCTTCTTAGTGTCATATGTTTATCGTGTAGCAGGTGAATATCAGTCTCTAGATTCTACTAGGTGAGTATTAGTCTCTAGAACTGAGTATTGATGTGTCCTCAAAACCGGAGTGATTGTTGTTAGGTTTGGTTCTAACCCTCTGAGGTGATTTCATTGTCAAAATTTTCTCTGGTGCAGGTTATGTGTAGGAATCATTGGAAGCAGCTGCGCGTTGTCAGATGCTCAGAACGCCACACTCTTTGTGAAGATTCTTGTGATTGAGATCTTCGGAAGCGCTCTCGGGTTGTTTGGAGTTATTGTTGGGATCATTATGTCCGCACAAGCAACATGGCCTACCAAATATATCTCTGGTATCTTCATTGTTATATGGATACTCTCATTAGTGTCTAGAAGAACAACCTGTGTGAGAACTCAAAACCTCTGTTGGATTCCTGATTTTTTTTTTTTTTTTTGCGAGTGTTGTATTCTCATTGATTTTTCTTTGAAACAAAGACGAGATTTTGTATATGATTTGCTGTTGGGTAATTATTGAAATTGATTATTTCATTCAGTTGATACATCAATACCGTTTGTTTCTATTGCTCATGAACTAGTTCAAGAACTCCGGGGCAATGATGACTGCTCCTGAGTTCCCTCTCAAGGATAGAGTCACCTCTCGTTTCCCATTCCTGGAGTTTGAAGAACAGATGATGTCTTACTGTCTTGTATTTTCTTAGGGTTTGATCAGCTTCTTTGCTTGCGTGTGTCCCAAGTTTCAAATGCTGTCATTTGAGTTTTTTAATCTGTAGCAAATCCAAAATAGTGATATTTTAAAAAACGTAAGGAGCAGATATTTCGCAGGATGTTGTCAATGTATCTCACCCAATCTTTCTCTTCTCACTCTTTCTCACTCATTTTGCTTTTCAAATATTGTCTCTCTCTCTAAAAACAGAAACAGAAGGAGAGAGAGGATACGGTAACAGAGTTTATCCTCCTCCCTTTCACCGTAGCAATTTCGTTTGCCTTTAGAGCATGGGAGAAAAAGAGACAATAATTTGATGATAATATTTGAAGCCGTACGTTTTATTATTTAATGGTATATGTATCTGATCAGATCCTATGATATTGGCGTTCTAGACCACTAGAAAGATCATCAAGCATGGGTGTGACATAGAACCATACATGGAAGTATAAAAGACTTAAAATAATTCCGGGCCAGTGATCAAGGGTTCCTACTATACCTAGGATAGCAAACCAAACTTCCGTTACTATGGTAAATAACAAGTGGCATGATGTAAAATCCTCTGCCGACCAATTGAGTTGCTTCATCAAATCACGGCTTCGATGAGAATCATGGCAACAAAGCATGACTCAAATTTGATACTCGTTGGGAAATGATATGAGATGCAATACATAACAATCATCACTGCAAGTAACCAGGTCATACGCCCAATCCGTTCTTGTCGATATGTTGGGACTGGAACATCTTTGAACATGTCCCTAATTAACACACCAAGGTACGGAATATCCGTTGCACTGATTATTGGGTATCTAGCCATGAATGAACAATACCATTTATATTATAAAAAAACATCCAATATTATAACTCCTACACACACACACACACATATATATATATATATATACATACAGATACATAACAACAATCGATTTCCTTACGTGTATTTGGGCATTTTAGTACCAGGGAAATCATTCTTTAACCACAAATATATGCTGAGTGCTCCACAGAACAAACATGTTATTGATATTATCAAGGCAGCCAAAAAAGATACTGTACGACATGCCCCTAATTAACACACCAAGGTACGGAATTTCCGTTGCACTGATTATTGGGTATCTAGCCATGAATGAACAATACCATTAATATTATAAAAAAACATCCAATATTATAACTCCTACACACACACACACACATATATATATATATACACATACAGATACATAACAACAATCGATTTCCTTACGTGTATTTGGGCATTTTAGTACCAGGGAAATCATTCTTTAACCACAAATATATGCTGAGTGCTCCACAGAACAAACATGTTATTGATATTATCAAGGCAGCCAAAAAAGATACTGTACGACATTCACGACAATTCACTCTTTCGACCATTCTTTGTCTTCGATTAGGACAGGAAACAAATTGAACACAAAGTAAGGAAAAAATATATCTATCTACAATAGATAAAAGGGACTAGTTTGGAGAATTAAGCAATGACACATCACTCTAAATATTCACCACCAATGAAAATGACACGTCATCATGAGCCTTTCTCAATGTAAAACTGTTGGGCCTCAAAAACCATCACAACCATTGCATATATAAAATTGTAGTCACGTCGTGTATTGTTGTTCAATGCTTTTTACTATCCTCTAGTTGCCACTTTCCAGGTTGCCATGCCTTTTTACACTAAGCTCTAGCACGTCTTTGTTCCATCGATGAATGTATGCATTAGTGCCATCACGATCTGAATACTTTTTATGTGTATATGCTTCCGTTTTCATCCTGAATTATTAAAGTTTTCGACACATAGTCATGAAATAAAATTTTAACAAAGTGAGAATTAGACAATAACTGTATCTTGACATGAAAATTAAACTTTATAAATTTTATGATTTGTAAGTTGCATAAACATAGAAAAAAAGACAAGAGGTGATACTTTATTAAAGTTAAGAGAGAGAGAGAGAGAGAGAGAGAGAGAGAGAGAGAGAGAGAGAGAGGGAGAAGTGGGTCAGATCCGGTTAGTCTGGGCGGGTTGTATAGGTTTAGGTTGGACTTGTAGATACTTTAATTCATTAAAGTTAAGATAGTCTTTAAGCACATTTTCTGATTAAAAAAATTATTGTAAAAGTGGAGTATAATAGAATTTTTTTTGAGGTTGTAGGGTCGTTTTGTTGTCTTTAAATTTTTTTATGCAGTTTCCACCATTGTGAAAGTTATATGATGCACCTCGATTACAAACTATAATATTTTGGAATGGAATAATGTGGAATGGTTGATTCCTATAATTCCACAAGTTTTTTTACCATTTTCTATGAATGGAATGGAATCGTCATCTCACCTATTCTAAAGGTAATTAGACAAAATACAAAGAAAAATATTACAAAGGTTGTAACTGCATTGTTGATTTTTGGAATGGAATGATGTGGAATGCCTTATTCCATCAATTCCAAAAAAAAAAAATTACCATTTGACATGAAGGGAAAGGAATACTCATTCCATCAATTCTACAAAAAAATAGATAAATACAAAGAGGGATGATTCCAAATCAAAATTGATCATGAATGAATGGAATGAATTCCATTCCATTTTTTGTTGTGTTCCATTCCTATCATTCCATTTATTTTCATTCCACCAATTCCTTATTATTTTACCAGTTACAGCCAAAATAAATTTGTTCATGAATGAATGGAATGAATTTCATTCCATTTTTTGCAGTATTTCGTTCCTATCATCCCATTTATTTTTATTCCATTAATTCCATTTTAAATTACCAGTTACAGCCACAGATATGTTACCATTCATTGAAATCTTAGAGTGTTTCTTAATGATTTTTCACCAAATCTTTATATAGATCTCACATCTAATATTCTATTTGAAGCATTTAGACCCCGAAAAACTGAAGTTTTTTTTTGGTGAAACCGATTTTTCAAACCGGTTAGTCGCACTACCGTTGTTGTGTAATCGCCCTCCATCCGCGTTTATAATGGATGTTACTTTTGATTTTGTTTGTAATTTACAAATGCAGAGAAAGCAATTTCGTTTTCCTTTAGAGCATGGGAGAAAAAGAGACAATAATTTGATGATAATATTTGAAGCCATACGTTTTATTATTTAATAGCATATGTATCTGATCAGATCCTATGATATTGGTGTTCTAGACCACTAGGACGATCATCAAGCATGGGTGTGACATAGATCCATACAGGGAAGTATAAAAGACTTAGAATTAATCCGGGCCAATGATCAAGGGTTCCTACTATACCTAGGATAGCAAACCAAACTCCCGTTACTAGGGTAAATAACAAGTGGCCTGATGTAAAATCCTCTGCCGGCCAATTGAGTTGCTTCATCAAAATCACGGCTTCAATGAGGATAATGGCAAAAAAGCATGACTCAAATTTGATACTCGTTGGGAAATGATATGAGATGCAATACATAACAATCATCACTGCAAGTAACCAGGTCATACGCCCAATCTTTTCTTGTCGATATGTTGGGACTGGAACATCATTGAACATGCCCCTAATTACCATAGCAAGGTACGGAATTCCCGCTGCACCGATTATTGGGTATCTAGCCATGAATGAACAATACCATTAATATTATAAAAAACATCCAATATTATACCTTCTACATATATACATACAGATGCATAACAAGAATCGATTTTCTTACGTGTATTTGGGCATTTTAGTACCAGGAAAATCATTCTTCAACCACAAATATATGCTGAGTGCTCCACAGAACAAACATGTTATTGATATCATCAAGGCAGCCAAAAAAAATATTGTACGACATTCACGACAATTCACTCTTTCGGCCATTCTTTGTCTTCGATTAGGACAGGAAACAAATTGAACACAAAGTAAGGAAAAAACATATCTATCTACAATATATAAAAGGAACTAGTTTGGAGAATTAAGCAATGCCACATCACTCTAAATATTCATCACCAATGAAAATGACACGTCATCATGAGCCTTTCTTAATGTAAAACTGTTGGGCCTCGAAAACCATCACAACCATTGCATATATCAAAATTGTAGTCACGTCGTGTATTGTTGTTTAATGCTTTTTACTCTTCTCTAGTTGCCACTTGCCAGGTTGCCATGCCTTTTTTACACTAAGCTCTAGCACGCCTTTGTTCCATCGATGAATGTATGCATTAGTGTCATCACGATCTGAATACTTTTTATGTGTATATGCTTCCGCTTTCATCCTGAATTATTAAAGTTTTCGACATATAGTCATGAAATAAAATTTAAACATAGTGAGAATTAGACAAAAACAGTATCTTGACGTGAAAATTAAACTTTATAAATTTTATGATTTGTGAGTTGCATAAACGTAGAAAAAAAGACAAGAGGTGATACTTTATTAAAGTTAAGATATATATATCTGGTTAGTCTGGGCGGGTTATATAAGTTTAGGTTGGACTTGTAGATACTTTAATTCATTAAAGTTAAGATAGTCTTTAAGCACATTTTCTGATTAGAAAAATTTATTGTAAAAGTTGGAGTGTAATAAAAAATTTATTGAGGTTGTAGGATCGTTTTGTTGTCTTTTTTTTTTTGAACGACGGTCGTTTTGTTGTCTTTAAGTTTTTTTTTGCTGTTTCCACCATTGTAAAAGTTATACGGTGCCACTGAATTACAAAATATAATATTTTGGAATGGAATGATGTGTAATGGTTGATTCATATAGTTCGACAGTTTTTTTTTACCATTTTATTATGAATGGAATGGAATGGAATGGAATGGAATGGTCATTTCACCTATTCCAAAAATAATTAGACAAAATACAAAGAAAATATTACAAAACAAATTTTTTCATGAATGAATGAAATGAATTCCATTCCATTTTTTGTAGTATTCCATTCCTATCATTCCATTTATTTTTATTCCATTAATTCCATTTTAATTTACCAGTTACAGCCATAGATATGTTACCATTCATTGAAATCTTAGAGTGTTTCTTAATGATTTTTCACCAAATCTTTAGATCTCACATCTAATATTCTATTTCAAGCATTTACACCCCGAAAAATTGAAGTTTTTTTTGGTGAAACCGATTTTTCAAACCAATTAGTCGCGCTACCATTTCTGTGTAATCGCTCTCCATATCCGTGTTTATAATGGATGTTACTTGTGATTCTGTTTGTAATTTACAAATGCAGAGAAAGCAATTTCGTTTGCCTTTAGAGCATGAGAGAAAAAGAGACAATAATTTGATGATAATATTTGAAGCCGTACATTTTATTATTTAATGGTATATGTATCTGATCAGATCCTATGATATTGGTGTTCTAGACCGCTAGAACGATCATCAAGCATGGGTGTGACATAGTACCATACATAGAAGTATAAAAGACTTAGAATAAATATTGGCCAGTGATCAAGGGTTCCTACTATACCTAGGATAGCAAACCAAAATCCCGTTATTTTTTAATCATATTAGAAGAAGAAAAGTTTGTTTTTTTACTAACCAAATTTTAGTTTATTTACGAACCGAGTTTTTACCGGTTCATTTGGTAGCCGGTTCCTGGGTGTTTGATGGTTCGATATGGGTTTTTAACCAGTTCAAATTTAGTTGGTTTTGGCACTAATCCAACCTGGATTATTGTCCGGTTCATGGTTTAACCTGGTTCAACCGCCGGTTTGGTCCGGGTTTGAAAACACTGAACTAAACCAAAGTTTATGCTTTAAATGGCCATAATTTGTAAGTTGGAGATTTTAATGACCATTTTTCCGATTCTTTAAAAATAATACAACTTTTTAGGACAAGATTCTTAGTTCTATGACATGGATTGTGGCAGCTCTCGACATTGGCGGATCCAGAAAATAATATAATATGGGGCACAATATATTAATCTTACATATATTTTAATAAATTAAATTTTCATTTTTAAATTTACATTAATTTCTAAAAAAAAAATTCAATTAATTCTTACAAATTATATCTTATTTCTAAAAGAATCAATAAATAAGTAAACAATTTTTATAAGGTTATATTCAGCTTAAGCAATTTTAATAAATAGTACATTGCACATAATAATTCAGTATAAAACAATTATTTTTATTTTAGTATAATTTCTAAAAATAATTAAAAAATAATTTTAAGTATATTTTAAATAAATTATATATTTTTGAAAAAATACTAAATAAAAGAGAAAAAAGAATATATAAAGAAAGAGTAGTTTAGGTAACATAAAAACAAATATAACAGGGAAAATATTTTGTGACAAAGTAATTAAAATATTTTTTTAAAAGTTGAAAGAATAAAAACAATGGTAAAATGATAAAAAAATTTTAGATGACATAAAAACAAAGGGAAAAATATTTTGTGACAAAGTCATTAAATTGTTTTTTTTTATAATTCATAAATCACGACAAAATAAATTTAAGAAAAATCAATGTTTGAGTAAATTTTAAATAAATTACATATTTTTGAAGAAACTAATACTAACCAAAAGAAAAGAAAAACAATTATAAAAAGAAAACCAATTATAAAAAGAAGAAAAATAGATATGAACGACAAAACCAAATGTAAAAGGAAAATATTGGTGAGAGTGATTAGATGTGTTTTAAAAAAAAATTGAAAGAATAGATGCACATGGGAGCTTTGAACGTGGAGGAATCAGTGGCGGTTCTAGAAAATTATATAAATAGGGGCATAAAATTTGATAAAAATAAAAATCAGGCTAAAATAGGGTAGGGAGGGAATTGAACCTGGGTTTAGTGGGGGCATAGGGAGGGTTTTAACCAAATAAGCTACATAATGTTTCAAATCGCTATGTAATTTAATTAAATTATAGATTTTACTGGGGGCAGCTGCCCCCTTGCTGCATAGGGTAGATTCACCCCTGGGAGGAATGGGGCATATAGGCATGAATTCGTCAAAAGAGATAACACGTTCGGTTCAACGTGTATCATGTTACACAAATAGATTATATTATAGCCTGTCGCACGTGCAACACACCGTGAGTGGCCCATGCTCCTTAAAATCCATGCGGTTTTGTCACTCCACATTGCTGTAAGTCTCTTCGGTTGTGCTCAACTAACAGTATTCAGTTTAAGTCACACCGGGAATTTCCTCCACGGCGTTGTTGCTATGAAAAAAGTCATTGTGGTTTGTGGTGGTCAGTGACAACTGTGACAAATTGACTAATTACTTGGAATGCGATGGAAAATATTTCTTTTTTGTTTTTCCAACGACTAATTAATTTCCTATCATTGAGCAGTATAATACTTGTAACAATGAATTTAAATAATCATATAAATTTCAAATTTTTGAAATAAAACGTTTGTTAAAATGAAATGCCTATCACATATAGACTTATTTTCGTATATAGACTAAAATAAAATATTTTTAATGCAAGATGCCGTGATTTATGAATTATCAAAAAAAAAATTTTAATGACTATGTCACAAAATATTCTTCCCTTTGTTTTTATGTCATCTAAAATATTTTATCATTTTACCATTGTTTTTATTCTTTCAACTTAAAAAAAAACATTTTAATTACTTTGTCACAAAATATTTAGTCTAACATGGTGAAACAAAATAAATAAATATATATAATAATAACAAAATGTTGCTAAAAAAGAACAAAATATCACTTGTGGCTCTATTTAGAGTCCCATTGCTTATATGCACTTACAAATATATAAAAAAATAGGGTCTAAAAGACACCTCCTGGGACGGCAGTGGGGTTGGCATCTGGAGTGACAGAGACAAAAGGATTGATCCTGACCCAAAGCAAAGAAAAGATGGACGCCAAAAGAACAGACCAGACGATGACAATGGTTGGCGTCCTGTTCTGTCTTCCCATGAGACCTTTCAAGAAAGGGTAGAGATGGGCAATGACCCATAAGGCGAAGAAAAGCTTCCCAAAGAGCGGACCCCATGACTGGTACCCACTGTTTACAGCATAAGAGACACCAGCCACAATGCCTATGAGGTTCACAACTAGGACTGTGGTCGGTGGAATGAGAAGAGCTGTCCATTTGAAGATGTAAAGCTCCGCGAAGTCTCCATCTTCGTCTGAGGCTTTGGATGTGACAGTGAAGTTAGTGTCAATACCCGCGAGAACCTTGAGTAGACCTTGGAAGACTGCGAAAAGATGAGCGAGATGTTCCACCAATGACCCAGAACTGCTCGTTCCTCCACCAGTCCTCAATGCTCACACCACTCCATCTCAGCTCTAGAACTCCAGTCACAGCGATTGAGATGAAGAGAAGAATGAACCAAATGTTGAATTAAACTTGAGTTAGCTTGAGGAGCAAGCAACCTAATTCTATTGAATTATAGAATAGGAAAATATCTATTTTGTGTTTCCTAATGAGTTTAGGAAAGTGTGTGAGTATATAAGGAGGTGCCATGATGTGGTACAACTTATGAGTTGTGGAAGTCTTAGTTTTGAGTTATTTTCTAAGACATTGAGTTATTAATAAAGAGTTCAAGAGTTTGAGTTATAATCTTTGATTCAATAATTGGTATCAGGGCACCTATTGGATCAAACGTCTGAGATATGGGAGATAAAGAAATTGTGGCAGCGACAATCAACAAGAAGACTAGCACTT